CCCGGATCTGTTCACGGGACAACTCTTGCACATGATGGATGTCAAGGAGGACCCAGAGCTGCAGTCCTTGGCATACCACGTCTTCCGTCATCTGCCCAACATTCCGTATCCGGCTGAAGACAATTCTGGATTCATCAAAACTCTCATCCACATTGGACAGACCTCTCCCTCGTGGCATCAACGCCTGCGAGTCATGATCAATATCCAAATCATATATTTCCGTCGCCTCTTCTTGCTCTCCAGCGGTGATCGAGACAAACTGTTCGAGTGTGTCGCGAGCATGTTGGAAGATCCTCAGCACGAAGTGAGAGTGGGTGCATCGGCCACATTGTCCGGTATGATCCGTTGCTCGCCTGTGTCTCTCCGGCAGGAGATGGTCAACCGACTCAGAGAACGGTTCACCAAGGTATTGGTCGAAAATCCCCTTCCGAAGAAACCTAAGGGATTCCGCTCTGGCCTATCGACTCCGGTCTCCTCAGGGGCTGGTACGCCGACCCCTGAACATACTCGACTTATCTTAGTCAGGCACGGTGCTGTTCTGGGTCTCGGGGCGCTCATCCAAGCGTTCCCATACAACAGTCCGCCCCCGAGCTGGATGCCGGAGGCGCTGACGACACTTAGTGTTCGTGCTGCCAGTGATCCAGGCATTGTTGGTTCTAGCGTCAAGTCTATCATCAGTGAATTCAAGAAGACAAGGCAAGATACTTGGCATATTGATGCAAAGGTAAGTTTCAACTACCATACAGGAGTGATCAAGCTCAGGGGTATCAATTTACTAACTTGTTTCTATAGGCCTTCACGCCGGATCAGCTTGAGGATCTTTCTGGAGTTCTTTGGAAGAGCTATTTCGCATAATGCGCGAATGAGGGACGATAACCATGCATGGGTGGAAGAGTATGTTATGCATTCTTCTTTTCACACGACACGTTCAAGATTTGCATATCGTTTTTGGCTTGTCTGGGTTACAGTATTGAGTGGATACGGGAGCTGGCCAGCATTGGGTAGTATACGTAGGGACTTAGCATATTAAAATCCACAAGACATCTATTGTTTGATACCTCGTATATCTGCATATCCTGCTGCGCCTGTTCGCATGGACATTCCTAACACTGTCATTTCACAAAGTGGATAGATATATGATATAGTTGGTATAGTAGTTCGTGGTGGTGGTGTGGTTGCAGATGGAGGCCAAGTTTAGTCAGCGGGCGTGAGCAACATCACGTGCCGGGAAGCAGCCACGCGGCTCGGCGGCCATCGAACCGCATCATCAATCGAACTCCAGGGGCGCTGGATAGCTTCAAGTCCTCCCTTACGGTTAATCCTTTGCCAGTTCGGCTTTGGAAGTCTATCTTTATCCCACAGCAAGTTATTCAATCTCTGGTTCTAGCGCTCCTGCGCGTTTTTGTCCCTGTGGTGTAGAAGAACTGCTCAAGGCAGTCTTGCTTCCACCATGGCTCCAAGGGACACCTTGTTCCGCTCGTCGGAGATGAGCTTGACCCAGCTCTACATCGCCAACGAGATCGGAAGAGAGGTTGTCAGTGCTCTGGGAGAGCTCGGTCAGGTCCAGTTTAGAGATGTGAGTCTGTTGCTTGGATATCTTAGTTGACATGCACGAACGAATCCAGCTGATATATGTTGCGTCTGTTTCTAGCTTAACCCCGACACCAATGCGTTCCAGCGTACCTTTACGAAGGAGATTCGTCGTTTGGATAATGTGGAAAGACAGCTGCGTATGTTCTGCAATCAGCGATAAGGTTCCTATGAACCTCGATCTAATCCGTCTCGCACACCAGGCTACTTCCATGCCCAGATGGACAAGGCAAGCATCCCCATGAGATCTTCGTCTGAATTCTCCGACACACTCGCTGCTCCTTTGGCCTCCGAAATCGACGAGCTCGCCGAGCGTAGCGAAAGTCTCGAACAACGGATCGCTTCGCTGAACGATAGCTATGAGACCCTGAAGAAACGTGAGGTGGAGTTGACTGAGTGGCGCTGGGTGCTGAGGGAAGCTGGTGGTTTCTTCGATCGCGCTCACAGCCATACGGAGGAAATTCGCCAATCTTTCGACAACGACGAAGCCCCTCTCCTCCGCGATGTCGAACAGCAGAGCCGCGGCCCCAACGGCGATGCGCAGGGTCAGCAGTCTTTCCTGGAGATGAACATCGGATTTGTGGCTGGTGTGATTCCGCGGGACAGGATTGGTGCCTTCGAGCGCATTTTGTGGCGTACTCTGCGTGGTAACCTCTACATGAACCAGTCGGAGATCCCCGAGGCCATCATCGACCCGACGACCAACGAGGAGTCCCACAAGAACGTTTTCGTCATCTTTGCTCACGGAAAGAGCATTATCGCTAAGATCCGAAAGATCTCCGAGTCGCTTGGGGCCTCCCTCTACAACGTCGATGAGAACAGTGAGCTGAGGCGGGATCAGATTCATGAGGTCAATACCCGCCTGGGTGATGTTGGCAATGTTCTTCGTAACACCAAGAACACCCTCGACGCGGAACTCACGCAGATTGCCCGCTCTCTTGCCGCTTGGATGATCATTGTCAAGAAGGAAAAGGCTGTGTATGATACACTGAACAAGTTCTCCTACGATCAAGCGAGAAAGACTCTTATCGCGGAAGCATGGTGTCCGACCAATTCGCTGGGCTTGATCAAGTCAACATTGCAGGACGTCAACGACCGCGCTGGGTTGAGTGTGCCTACTATCGTCAATCAAATCCGGACCAACAAGACCCCACCAACCTTTATGCGGACGAACAAGTTCACTCAAGCTTTCCAGACTATCGTCGACGCCTACGGTATCTCGAAGTACTCTGAAGCTAACCCCGGATTGTACACCATCGTCACATTCCCCTTCCTTTTCGCTGTCATGTTCGGTGATTTTGGCCACGGTGCCTTGATGACCCTGGCTGCTGCCGCTATGATCTTCTGGGAACGCAAGCTGGCGAAGACCAAGCTGGATGAGCTGACTTACATGGCATTCTACGGTCGTTACATCATGCTTATGATGGGTCTCTTCTCTATGTACACCGGTCTTCTCTACAACGATATCTTCTCCAAGTCCTTCACCGTCTTCCCCAGTCAGTGGCAGTGGCCCGACGATATCAAGCAAGGACAGACCGTCGAGGCATCGTTGAAGACTGGCTATCGCTTTCCTTTCGGTCTGGACTGGAACTGGCACGAAGCCGAGAACTCTCTTCTTTTCACCAACAGTCTGAAGATGAAGATGAGTATTTGTCTCGGTTGGGCACACGTAAGAGACTTCATTAAATTTCTTTTAACCATTGTTAACCTTGTTTACAGATGACCTACGCTCTTTGCTTGCAATACGTCAACGCTCGGCACTTCAAGTCGAAGGTTGATGTTATTGGTAACTTCATTCCCGGAATGATCTTCTTCCAGTCCATCTTCGGTTACCTTGTTCTTACCATCATCTACAAGTGGTCCGTTGATTGGAACGCCCGAGGCCAATCTCCTCCCGGACTTCTCAACATGCTTATCTTCATGTTCCTCTCCCCGGGAACTGTTGAGGAACAGCTCTACCCCGGTCAGGCAAGCGTCCAGGTTCTTCTCTTGCTTCTTGCTGTCATTCAGGTGCCGATCATGCTCTTCTTCAAGCCATTTTACCTTCGTTGGGAGCACAACCGTGCCCGCGCTCTTGGATACCGTGGCCTTGGCGAGCCATCCCGGATTAGTGCGTTAGAAGACGATGCCGATGGTGGTCGCGACAGCATGGCCAGCGATGGTGAAGGTGTCGCCATGATCGCTCAGGATCTCGGTGACGAAGAGCACGAGGAGTTCGACTTCGGCGAGATCATGATCCACCAGGTCATCCACACCATTGAATTCTGCCTGAACTGTATCTCCCACACCGCCTCCTACCTGCGTCTGTGGGCTCTGTCTCTGGCCCACCAGCAGCTCTCTATCGTGCTGTGGGACATGACCATTGGCGGCGCTTTCGAACAAGAGTCTTCCACCATGCGGGTGGTCATGATCGTTGTCACCTTCTACCTCTGGTTCACCTTGACCATCGCCATTCTCTGTGTCATGGAGGGTACCAGCGCCATGCTTCACTCCCTCCGTCTTCACTGGGTCGAAGCCATGAGCAAACATTTCATGGGTGACGGTATACCTTTCACCCCGTTCAGCTTCCAGACCCTCCTCGAAGAGGATCCTGTTGATTAGTCTTTCTTTTTCTGACTGCATGCGTTGCATTTTCCTTTCCTTTCACACTTTTGGATCAAGATGTCACATTAGTACATTCCCTGAGGGAATTCGATCGAATCTAGATATTCATGGCGTCTTGTCCTATTATCCGTGTCTTTCTTTTGGCTGTGCTACTAGATGATCGGAAATATATATGTCAATTGTATACTCAGAAAGAAGTTGTAGGACGTATCAGTAACAACCATATGCAATTTACTAAATTATCTCGCTGCAGAAATTAGTGAACCAATATTCTGGTCACCCCGCAATCATAGATTAAAGAAAATCACACATCTCGGCTTCAATCGGCATGTATGAGAGAGCGGCTAGTAAAGAAGCCAGACCGCCACCAGGCAATTAAACATTCCTTCAGCGCCTCGTGTGTAATAACTTGACACTTATAGCACGAAACATTTCTATTTCAAATGAATACGATGTCCAACTATGGAATCTTTGCCGAGTTCGCTGCAGTGTAGGAATTCGAGGAAGGAAATTTATAATTCCACCAATCAAGGGCATGCTTTAGCACACTCGCCTTAGCATCTATTGAGTGGTCGAACTAATTATCATTTACTTGACTTCAATATCTTGTAAAATTATGTTGTCTATTAAAGTAACCGAGTAAGGGTACTTTAGCCACTGCTCTACGTAGTATCATGCTGGCAACTTAAGTACTTGATTGCAGCAGGGATATATACTAAAGTATTCATCTTCAGTTACTCTTGTCATTCCAAATCTCCACTTTCAATCCTCTAAAAATCACATTATATGAAGCTTAATTACATTATTCAATACCCCCAGATAATTCCAATAGAAAGTCCTCCTACCCACCCAAAACCAACAACCCCAACACCACAGCCCCAGTCGTCAAACCACCACCAGACATCATCACCGTCATCCTCTCCGCCCCAGACATACTAGTACATTTCTCAGTCCCTAGTAGATACCATCACTTAATCAGCCCAACCCAAACCACACAAACCCATGAACAAAAGATGGAAGATATACATACCCCTCGCATACGCACACAAATCATCATAAGCCCAAATACTCCCAATCCAACTAGCATAATTAAAACTCCCCGTCAAATTATTACACCGAGTATAGCTACACTCCCAAGCAGCTTCACTCCAGTTATCCGACACCCCGTGCGCATTCTCACAGATGCATTTCAAGGTGGATTTGGACGTGCTTTCTGCGATGGCAGTGTAGTTTGTTCCGCAGGTGCCGTTGTCCAGAATTTGAAGCAGGTAGTCGGTGTGGCAGGGTCGGAAGCATGCGGAGTAGTGGTTCATGTAGGCGTTCCAGGAGCAGGGTGTGAAGGACATGTTTTTTTTTTTTTTTTTTTTTTTTGTTTTGCTTTCTGGGTATGGGGTAGGATGATGAGTGTTGGATTGGGTTTTGTTCAATAAGGAAGTGAGTTGTATAGTATATTTGAATTGGGATTTTGCGGAATTGGGAAAGTGTAGTTATATACTTCAAGTATGTTTCATTCACAGCTCAGATCCCTTTCATTGTCAGCTCAGTTCCATTTCTATATTCACTTCTCTTCTCTTCCTCTTCTACCTCCACTACTCCTTCTCTTACTCTTTGACCTCGCTATCATCCTCCTTTCTTCTTCGCTACTCTTCTAAGCCTTCTGCGCTCGGAATCTCTTTCTTCGGATCTCCATATCTTTTCTTCTAATCTAATTGATTTTCTCGCAACCCTGTTCCTATTCCAACCATATCTAGTGCTTATACGACTGTCTTGCCACTTCAAAGACTATCAGCGGAGCAGGATATCATAAGATAAGCGGGTGGGATTCTGAACACTCTATACTTTGACCGGGAAAGTAACCTCTTGGGCCGCGTTAGGGGATAATAATGGGCAGTATGTCAGGCGACGAATCAGGCGATGAATTCTGGAAGGGTAAGAGACCCAGGAATTTGGCATTTACAGAACCTTCCTTATTGACTACTGTATAGACCTGAGCGACGATGAGTCAACTGAATCCACAAGACTCCAGTTTGACAAAGGTCGATCGGGCCTACAGAAGGCTCTTTTACGAACAGACAAGACCGAGTGGTTCCGGTGGTTACAATCAGATATACTAAAGCCCTTCTGGGTAGAGCTGTGGGATTCTTACCTCAAAACCAGTGGGAAGAAGGGGGCTCGGGGGGTTGGACTGGCAGCCGTACAGGAAACTCTGATCCAGGGAGAAAAAGGAGGTAAAAAAAATATTCCAGTCTGATACCCCCTAACAAAGCATCTTGGGGGGCTGTTGATCATCTAGCCCGGTTTATGTACTGGGTAAGAAAAGAGAATCTCGAGTCGTGCGAGGGTGTATTCTATGGGAGAAACATGCACCCCGATGATATCGACCAGGCTATCTGGATACTAAAGAACTATCTCCAAGAACTCCACTCCGAAAGCCAAATAAACAAAAAGACTGGCGGGACAGCCATTTTTGGCACCAAGCGCCACAATGGTGAGCCGAACCCTAAGGAAACGTGGAATTTGGCTAATCCAGAGCTTGCTTAACAGATGCAGAGGTGAGCAATACAGAGTGCAACACCGGCAACGATGACAAGGCCATACTTGGTGACGGAATGGCGACAATGACGCCGAGTGAAGGTGAACATATGGAAGAACCATGCAGCGACAACATTGATTGGGTGCAAGAAGCCCTAACACCCAAGCAAAAGATTCGTCTCAACCGTCTCTCGCCAACTTACAAAAAGGAAGAAGTTTATTGGCAGATAATCAAAATAAATAGGGCCTTAGACATGACAACAAAAAGGACTCCGTCAGAAGAGCGTCTCGATGAGGAAGCCAATGATAACAGGGAAGAGGAGGAAATCCCAGAGCTTGCTAAAGATACCGAGCATACTATATTTGACCCCTTCAAATATGATACTTCGCAGGATTTTGAGGCACCCCTCGAGGTATGCATGCAAGAAGACCAAGTGGAGGTCACACAAGAGGATATAGCTCAGCTTCGGGAGCAACAGTCTTGGCTCAACAACGAGCAGTTCCAACGGGATAATCACGAGGAAGCGTGCGAGAAGCTTGACATTAGTGACCCAAAAACGCCCCACCTGAAAGGCATGGTGGGATCGGCCATACTAAAGTTTTGGCAAGTGGTGGCAGTCTGGTGGCTGATAGAGATCATGGCCAGCAGACTGACCAAGGGGGCAATACTTGCGGATGCGGTGGGACTGGGAAAAACATATGAGGCGATTGCCTTCATAATTGCAGTAAGCCCCTTTTAGGAGTGGAACAAAATTCGGCAAATCCAGCTAACTCTTAGGAAGCGAACTCCATACCTATCTTCCCTGGTGGATAAGGGAGACAAGAGGGCCGAGCAGGATCTGAACAAGCCCGTATTGATTATTGTGCCTCCCCACCTCATAGAACAATGGGCTGCAGAAATACACAGCATTTCAAGGCGCCTTGAGCTCTGGATATACTACGGTGATGATCGTACAAAACAGGGTGCTCGACATATCCAAGGCAAGTTGAAGGCCAACCACCCGATTTTCCATGTCACAGCGGATACCAAATATCAAGTCATCCTATCCACTTACCAGACTATGGAGGCGAGGCATGGACTGTCAGCTGTAAAAGACTGGCACAAAAAGAAGTTCAAGAAGGACTTCAAAGGAAGCCACCTACCGAACAATTTCCCCAACAATCTAAGTGGTCGCTTCGGCCTCGTCGTATGCGACGAGGCCCACCAAATCCGAAATCCAGAATCTGGAGCCGCTCTGGCCGTTTGGTGGCTCGATGCAGCGTTTCATCTTCTGATTACGGCTACACCATTTTGGAATAGCCGGAATGCAGATTTTCTTGGTTATATGAGACTTCTTCTTCTTCCCCTCAGGGGCATAACTTCGGAACTCAAGCCGGAAGAAGTGCAAGAAATTCTCAAGGCTAAACATGGAGACAAGGATTTCGAGATGCTTCTAGGGATGGACTTTGTACGGAAATACATTCTTCATCCAAACATCGACAGCATGGACAGCGCAATCCGAATGAGAAAGTTGCTAAGCTATATTATGTTACGACGAACTTTAGCCTCATGCCTGCCACTGGGAAGCCAGGCATGTATCGGCCAGGATATTCCACCCTGCCAGCGTCAAGTTTTAAAGGTCTTTTTTAATGAAGAAGAAAATGAGGCCTACAGAGCTTACTGGATCAAGTATAGGCGGGTCTTCATAAAGGAAACTGGTGATGATGGCCGTGTGAAATTTCGGTATAATATGGACAATTACCGGAAGTTGGTCCTCGCTGCATCCTGGATAGGAATGATCATACTGGAGAAAGCGCTTACATCAAAGAATATGAAAAAGGCCATAGTAGCGCAGAAGAAAGGAAAATTAATAGGCCAATTCATGCAACAACTTCAGTCCAGAGAGATTATCAAAGGGAAGGAAGGAATCAAAAGCTTTTTCCACCTACCACAAGATTCGCCCTCCTCTGAGACATCATCTGAAGACTTCCTTAAAGCTGATGCCGGCCGGCTTGCAGCTATGCTGCGAGGATCTGCCAAGATGCGGGTAATGCTTGGTTTACTTCGCGACCAAGTATTATTCGGGTCTGAAAAGGCTATAATTTGGGTCAATTTCCCCGCCGAACAAATGTACGTGTTGACCACACTTCAAGAGGCCGGTTTTGACGCTGTCATGATCGATAGTGGCCTAGACCCGAAGGAGCGTAACCAGATTGTGCAGGTATTTACAACTGATCCTGCAAAACACATGATTTTGGTATTATCGTACCAGCTCAATTCCTCGGGATTGAACCTCCAACGTTATTGCAGATATGTTCATCTTTTCACCCCCGCCAGCACAAAGTCCCAAGGTGACCAGGCAATCGGACGAAACTTGAGAGTTGGACAGACAAGACTGGTAATCGTGTACGATTACCGCATGATGTCCACATTCCAGGCGACCATCGCCAACCGCGCGGCAACAAAAGCTCTCCCAGCCATGTTGACGGATATTTCATGCTCGTTAGCTGCAATGCTCGAGCCATCCTCAGAGACGGCGTATACTGATCGCTGGGTCATTCGGGATGGGAAGGTTTTACATCTGGAGGATACAGAGACGCCTCGTGAAGGCGACGTTACCGACCCCGACACTGTCCTCGATGGCATATGCGCAATGCTCGAAGGACTGGCCTACGAGCCGGACACGAAGACAAATAAAAGGGCTAAAGCAAAGAAAAGACGCACTACAAAGAAGTAACGAGATGAGGCACAGGGAACTCAGCACGGGTGCTAAAAAAGCTGCGGTTAACTTTATGGTGAATGAAGAACTCAGGTTATCAGTAGTCAATCTGCACCTAGCCCTGGCGAATGAATTAGGCAAATCCAACAGATACTAGTGCCCTCACAGCAGGACGTAAAATAGTCTGAGCTACAGAAATGCAAAGAGGATCTAAGATTGATATTTCATTACCAGTTGTAATGTTTTTGTAAAGAGTTCCTTGCAGAAGGGAAAATATAGTTACTTCTCGCAGTGGCGGTTGTCTAGAACATGCTCGCTTAGCTCCCGGTGGGCTTCCGAATATGAGCTAGCGTAATCCCACCCGTCCCACCTCAGTTTGAATTTCATGAAAGGGGTTCTGGGTTTTCGGGCCTACTTTGTTCCGGCCCCGGCGGCAGGAGCGCCTTCCTTACCTCCGGGAGAGCCACCCCCTCTACTTCGACATCTACTTCGTTCCACTTGCATGTTTCTAGTTGTTTACCATCCCGACCTCAGAAACATAACTCGCCGGCAAATTTCTCTGTGTCCACCTTATCCATCGTCCTGGATTTCTTCGCATATCCGAGATATTCGGCTTTCTACAGAGCAAAGATGGCTTCTATTGAGGCTGAGTTTACGGAGGAGAGAGCCATGTTGATCCAGCGCCTAATCAAATCCACCAAGGTTCACTCAGTCGACAAGGCGAATCATGCCTTTATTTGGCTGTCTGATATGGAGGTGCTGCGAGGAATGGTAAGACATGCGGAGTCCGGAACGTATAGCGCGAACCAGGTGGCTTTGAGTATTCGGGCGGGCCCACACGTCGTCAAACAGTTGAAGTCCTGGCTTGCCCGTCGTACAAGCAAAAGCGACACCGATGAAGCTGCCGACGTTGAACCGGCTACCCCGTCTACCCCGTCTACCCCCATACCCGCTACGGGAGAGTCCCCCCAATCCTCGCCTACCACACCTTCCAAGAGAAAGACTAGCAAGTCGGAGTCCCCCTCGCCAACCAAAATTCCTCGTCTTACTAACCCTGGACTTCAACGGTCCAAAACTGCGAAAGATATAGCTAAAGCCCGAGATAACGGCCGTTGTGTTGTGACCCAGATGGGGGAGCCAGTCCAGATATGTCATATTTACCACCACTCAATGGGGAAAAAGACTGAGGGTGAGCGGGATGAGTTTTGGGGACTACTGCTAGCATTCTGGCCCGTCGACAAGATTGAGCAATGGAAGAATGACATCTTTGGGCCCAAGGGCACAGAGATACCCCAAAATCTCCTGTGTTTATCTAACATTGTACATGATCTTTGGAGCAAAGCCCGGCTTGCTTTTGAACCCGTTGAAATTACGGCGGACGGAACCTCCCTCACTATTCGCTTTTGGTGGTTACCGGGCACCAAGCTTTACGGGCGTGTGGCACTTTGTGACCCTCCGTCTCTCCCTGCATCGTTGAAGGCGAGCCCTTTGAATGCCAAATTATGGAATTGCGAAACTGACGCGCCCATATATTCTGGTGAAACTATAGTTTTGACTACTACTGATCCTGTAGCCATGCCACTCCCTTCTTTTGAACTTCTGCATATGCAGTGGATGTTAACCCGTGTTGCTGCACTTTGCGGTGCAGCGGATGTGTCAGATGAGGACCTGGAAGATGAAGACTTTTGGTCTGGGGATGAGATAGCAAGTCCAATTCCTGAAGCATTGCCCCCAACACTCGCAGAAAGTTCCCTCTCCCAACTCCCTGAGCGCCCCCGCCGCTCCAAACTCCCGAGATCCTTCGATCGCCAGGCAACATCTGGAGAAAATCGCCCCCCTACCCACTATCCCAGAGTATCCTCAAAGGTACGGGAGCTGGCTGCCACAGATGATACATCTGATGTCCCCTCTGGTCATCTCAGTGATTGATATACGCGGGGCTTGTGGTCCTTTCAGAGAAGCTTTTAGTTATACCATGCAAATTACGGTCGTTTTAATGTTTTTATATTGGCACCCAAATTGTCTGAATTAGCCAAATGCAGAGGAGACCTAATATCAATGTTCCTGCAGTGTATTTGATACAGCCACAGTAAGCTCAACGAACTTATGATATGGTGCTGATTCTGCCATTCCTTGCTGTACAGCATGATAGCCGAGTTGACTCCGCGGGTCATACGGGTCGCGATAATAAATTAGAGACATAAACTGTAGATAGCTCCTTACTTAACTAGTAGTTTTTATATAATATTAAAAGAGCTAATATTAATAGCTAGTTAAGTTATTAACTATAACAGAAGACTACCATAGTATTATAAATATACTACTAAATCGTTTGTTTGTTTGTTTGTTTGTTTTATTCCTTACTCTGTTTCGGCGCCTTGCAGGCCATACCAGAGGTCCTAGCTAGGTCACATAATCTTACCTGACTTTTTCAGATATAATAATAGCTACCTCAATTCCTTTCTATATAAATGAGTTATATAGGCAGCAGCAGCTGTAGCTGTCTTAATATTTCTAAACTATCTAAAATACATACTTACAAGGCTTCAAATATCTTACTAATCTTATTATTCTTTCTATATATTCCTTGTAGCCGCCTATCCAGTAATCTATTCGAAGTTATCTTGCTGACTCAGTTAGTGCTGTGCTACTGATTAGTTAATTAATAACTACTATTCTGCATTGCGTTCCACGCGCCCTCGCGTTTGAATCCCGTGTTAAATATCTTTGTTGAACTCCTTATTTATTCACTTGCTTGCTAGTTCCTTACTGCCTGCTATTCTATTCCTGTAGTATCTGTTATACTCAGTATTCGTATACACGCCTGAATATCTTTCTTGAATAATAGCCTGCCTGCCTCACTTGCTACCTTACTTCTGCCTTACTCTGCCTTGCAGCTACTATGTCAGTTATTATCTATATGGCTTGACTATTCGACCTCTTCGCCTCTGATTTCTTTTCTTCAGTGACACTTACTAGAGCAGTAGGAGCCTGTACTACCTGGATACAGGAAGCAGGCTCCGGGGGACGAGTTCTGATGCTTTTATCAAATATATAAATTTATATAAATAAATATATAATATAGATATCCTCACCTGCTAAAGTTATCGAGGGCTAGATATTACTAGAAACCTGAACCGGGAGTGGCTGCCTTGTCTGTAAATCATGATTTAGTAACAAGCACCTCCATAAAAGAGATAAAGCTGTCGAGAAATATCAGCCTACCTGTATGGAGTATGAAGCAGGCTATTTATCATACATATTTCAGTGACAAGGCGTCTATAAGATCAAGGGGCGCAGCCAGATCTTATATAGTAGTCTCAATATTTATATATCATATTTCTAAATCTCCTTCCGAAGCGCGTCATATTTCCTGCATGTAATTAATACATGGAATATTATTTCCAGATCCCCACACGGGTAGTGGTCTGTATCGGCCCTCTTAATACTACTATGCAGATACACGTTGAAGCCAGTATCAGTATCTGTCATCTGGCGTCTGTCGTCTGTAATATAACTCTATCTCGCTGCAGAGTTCAATACGAAGTAGACCATCGTCAACCAGGCTGAAATCAGAGATAACTGTGTTATTATTTTTCTGTTTCGATCATATTCAATCGTAGGGCATTGGAAAGGAGTAATATTCAGACCGCCACCGATGAGGCAATCGGGCGTTTGGTCGGGGCCTCTTCAAGTAATAAACTTGTAGCATACTGCCGTCATTTTCTTTGACCAAGAGAAATACTATTACGGATGCATTTTGGAGACCATTCCGAGCTCACTGCAGTGTACTAAGGCATCGATGAAGGAGATCCATCATTCCACCAATCAGAGGCATCGCTGGACTAACTATGCATTCAACTCGGCATACATGGGGTATTTGACTTGGTTACTATCAATTGCTTCCATTTATATGTTTAATCAATCCTGGTATGGTATGTATGAAACTGATGCAAAAAGAGGTTTCGGCCACTGTCTTATAATTCGGGCTCGCAAATGTTACACTCGGGATATTAGATGTTTGTAGTCATCATTTACCACTATCAAATCTCAGCCACTTAGTACCCATAATAATCATCATCACCGATCGATCTTTGGAGTAGGCAAAGATTTGCCCCTTCTTTTTCTGACACCTTACCTGAATTGAACTGGTACTAGGTGAAGCGTTCTGATTGGCCTAAGGTGAAGTTGGAGGGGGTAAATATATATATCTCAAAATATTATACTTATGATTATTACTATGTCTGAAGGTTGGTGGAAAGAAAAAATTTGCTAGTACTGATAGGGAAAGAAGAGGAGTTTAGGTGGTCACTCAAACTTCATAGAACAAAGAAACGAATACTACTGTAGCTAGAGAGACTTACATAGAGTGAGAAGAGTCCGGAGTAAGGGTTTCGATGTCGTATAACAGAAGCACAGCGGCGTCAAGCGGAAAATCGGACTCAGCCCAGATGAGTCACTCATAGTAAATAAGTGACTAGTTAGCTAACTAGCTAACCAAGTTACTAACTAAATAGTTATCGGTATCTCGCCGAGACTTCTATGTCTCGCACAGGCTTATTTCTATTCATAGAATTCGGTGGCTGTGATACCACATTCTGTCACGAGGCTGGAACACGAATCTCCTGAGACAACCTGCACGGTTGAGCAAGTGTCCGATCGAGAACTGACACCCGACGCCGCAGACCGAGAAGTTGCCATGCTTGTGTTATGGGAAGACTGAGACTTGATGTTCAGAGTGGACTCAATGTCTGTATAAGAGTCAAAGCCGGACACGCATGCCGCATCACTCCACGTCTTCATCAGCTGTTGTACTGCGGGAAGGTCTCCATCCATATTGACAGCCAGGCCAACAATATAATTGGCCGTTGATCCACAGTACTGTAGGACCATTTGACTGGACACCTCCCCAGAGGCGACGTAAGTGCGCATCTGGTCCATCACAGTAGCTGCAGTGCTAGAGGCATAAAAACCGCCTCCGATGTAGAGTCCGACAACTGCTTTCCCTGAATAACCAAAAACAAAATCCGTTTCCATAACAGACCCGATATAAGATTCAACGTCGTCTAAAGCTCCCAAAAGCTGGCTATGAGCTGAATCAGCTACGGAGCCCCAGACACCTAACTCAAGGTTCACTGAGGAGGTATTGGTGGTGTTGTTGTCTGCATATGCCGTCCATCTCGCCACAGATGACGTGGCAGTATCATTTGCCGTGGTGCAGGCATAAATAGTCGAGTGAGTCTGAGAATCATTGAGAGGGTTATATATTGCGAAATTAAGGAGCATCGACTGGTTGCAGGCAGCGACCCGGTCAAGTGAATGATAGGCAACTCATTAGAATGGGTCAACGCTCGAAGAGCAGGCCTCAGGACAAGTATTGATGTTGTTTCTTCTCGCTGAGATTGCGCCCACCAGAAGGGCTGTTGCTAGAAGATCACGCAATTGCATAACAAAATTGAAATAGAATCTAATGAATGAATGGACTTGATTCAGTGAGTTGGCATATTGGCCAAGGAGTGTTGAAAAGATCGAAGGAACGGTGAAAAGAAGGTAAGGAAAGACTGTAAAAACGAATGATGCCACCTACTCCGAGATAGCAAGGCAGCATCCTCTTTAAGTATGCGAAGATTCCAGTCGAGGCTGGGAGGTTTCTGTCCCCCTTCTCTAGCGAGCTATTCCGATCAATGGAGTTTATCGCAAGCAGAAACTTGGGCCGCTAGTTCTTAGAGTCTTGTTAGCGAGCAACTATAAACATTACTCGCACACGTTCAGTTTGGTGTTGTCATCTCGCAATTTACTACTAGGGTATATACAAACCCTCGCCGCGTATCGAGCCGATGTCTTTGCTTAACGCCATGCTATATTGGACACGGGAATGTTAACATGACTATTGCCCCAATTGTACGTGAGATGTGTACTCCGATGATAGTCATTGTACCTTGCGGCCCTTGAGTATCAGCTGTAAGAAGCATCATTCACTGCTCGGTGTGGAGATACAGGTTGTCCTAACGCACAGGTAGATGATAAGTGCAGTTGAAAGGAAGGTGCAGCTGTTTAGCAAGACCTGGATCCATGGCTCTAGCAATGGCCTAAACTTGACTGTTCGGCCGAGTTCCGTATACAGCCGTCCAATCAAAAATATCATCATACAGTCAACCAAAGTATGTGATTGGTTCAAACATTTAGAACTAAGTAGTAGTAGGCCTCAAGTTTCAGTAATCTAGTCTTTTCCGATGTGAGGGACATCATGGACGGAGGAGCCCGATATTAGAGTCCTGAATGTGACGTTTATCCTGATGGCCAGTGCGATTTTCCTTCAGGTTTCTGTTCCAATTATACCATCCCCTCTGAGTACTGGGCCGAATACGTTGTGGCGAACTTCCATGAATACATCACTGAATTCGGTTCCTTGTTCAATTACGCGAATCAGAATCAGTCGCTGGGCATTGATAATATTGTCGCAGACTTCCCTGTCAAATCAGCAAGCACAGTACCCGATCTAGCGACTATATTCACCAATGTCGGCGGTGTACTGGGGATTATCGGAAGCACTCTACCTCTGCTTGATGAAGAGACTGACACCGCTTCGAGCATGATGGGTGTTATGAGCGGGCTCTTTTCCACCGCTGGATCTGACATTTCCTCCAGCAGCGCGACCGATACTGAAACAATCACTCTGGAGAAGAAAGTTGAGGCTCTTTATAGCCTGATGTACACGGCTGTTCAGGATATCCTCATTGACGTCTTCGAAACCGGCAATATCTCCTCCTGGCCCTCGGACCTGCGAACTGGTGACTACTCCTTTGAAGTCGCCAATTTCTTCAATGGCCGATACATGTTCTTGCTCACTGGTGAACAAGCCGAATCCCTGGAGAGTACTTTCAACGCCTATCTTCAACAGTACCTTGTCGGCTCCGCATTGGTCTCGGCCAATTATTACGTTTTGAAGGGTGCCTACTCCACCAGTACCTGCTCCTCTATCACCAGCGGGAAGGTGATTGACGGTGCCTGTTATACTCTTCAATATCCTGGTGCAGGGTGGGAACTGGTCAACCAGATCATGACGGATCCGATTAGCAGTGATGATCTGACCAAGCTGACGGATACCTATAATGTTGACCTTGAGAGTCTCTATACCAACTCATACACTTGCCAGAACACCACCGGTACGTATGGGGGCACACTCGAGGTGAATATTCTGGAGTTCTCTTCGTCTCTTCCGACCTGCTTCTATAACCTTCCCGTCTTCACGGTCGAAACGTCTGAGGAGCCTAAGGTGAACAACTATCTATCTTCGCCATGCCTGGTGTACGAGCAGAACCTGACTGCTAAGACAGCCGAACTGGGTGTGACCTGGTTGCCGAGCAACCTGGCTGACATTTTTGTTAAGGACTTTTGTGAGTGCAATGCTGGTGCTAGAGAGTGCTCAGAGATCTAGAAGAAAAACAGCACTAAGGGGGAGAAAAGGAGGGAACATTGTTTCTCTTTGATGGGAAGGGAGAAAAACTGATGTTGGGTGTTTTGTTTTCGCCTGTGCAACACGGGCGCATGTGATTGGTGGTAAAAAGTAATTCCTTGAATCAATTTAATAGTAGTAGTCAGAAATGTCGTTTCAGTTTTTGATAGACAAACAAACAAACAAACAAATTCTCTCTGTTTCTTTTCTTCTCCATTATAATGTAATGGAGTACTTAGTCTGTGCCTTGCTCTTTACCAATTTGTCACAGACCGAGAAGAAGATCCAGGCAAGTCCTTTCTTTATCTGGACATGATGGACGCCATTCTACGGCAAGAACTGAGGCGAATCATCTCTATATAAATCCGTGGTAACTCTTCCACAATCCCCCGATTAAATTGTAATGTCTTTGCTCAATTGGCACGCATTTCGATGTACTTTACGGATGATGGGAGTAACAACCGCCCTCTAAGATTAAAGTAGACCGGTGCGGAGGCGGGGCAAAAGTCGGAAGAATGTAAACTACAATATAACCAAGAATAGTATAATTATAGAATTTTTATTTGCATTTTGATTTAAATATGTAAATATTTGTGGATCATAAATCACATGCCAGTGCAAAGATGTCACCGGGTACCTGCTGTACGCACTGACTGGCTCGCATTAAGTAACATGAAACCATTAAACTCCACCCTAGTGCTGTTCCTTTGTGCCATGAACTCATTTGTGGTGCTGGTTGTACGTGTCGATAATCTTCTGTACCTCGTCCTTCGAGCCCAGGAACACACCGCTCCGGTCGTGAATGTGTTCCGGAACCACCTCCAGAAGACGCTCCATCTGGGAGTTCACTGCCAGACCACCTGCGTTCTCAAAAAGCATAGCCATGGGGGCACACTCGTAGAGGATACGCAGCTTGCCCTTGCGGCTCTTGGAATCAGCCGGGTAGGCGAAAACACCACCGTAGAGGAGAGTCCGGTAGGCATCGGCCACCATGCTACCAATATAACGCGCGCTGTAAGGCTTCTGGCCGTCACCGGGGTACTTCAGCGAGTGGAGGTACTTGTTCACCCAGTCATCCCAGTACATGCTGTTACCCTCGTTGACCGAGTAGATGGCCCGCTTGGCGGGAAGCTGCATGTTGGGGTGTGTCAGGATGAATTCACCCAGAGAGTTCTCCATGGTGAAGCCATTGACACCGCCGTTGCGCATGGTGATCACCAGCTGTGCGGATGCACCGTACATGGTGAAGCCAGAGGCAACCATCTCCGTGCCGGGGCGAAGGAGGTCCTGAGCAGTGACCTTGTTGTTGGGACCGAGGACCTCATCGGGAAGCTTGAAGATTCCGAAGATGGTACCAACCGAAACGCCAGCGTCAAGGTTGGAGGAACCGTCAATAGGGTCGCAGACCACGGCATAGCGGGCATTGGGGTGCTCGTCGAAGATGATAGCCTCTTCCTCCTCCTCGGAAACAAGGATACGGCACTTGCCGGAGCCCTTCATGGCGGAAATGAATATGTCATTGCCGATGACGTCAAGCTTCTTCTGATCGTCGCCAGTCGTGTTTGAGGAACCAGCCAAACCAGTCAGGTTAATCAAGGAAGCGCGACGAATGTAGTAGGCAATAGACTTGAAAGCAAATTGAAGAGCGTGGCAGAGTAGTCTGGAAAGAGGAGGGGGAATCCCGTTAGTAAGAGAAACAGCCAGAACTGAGGAGGGGTAGGGAAACTCACGTGAAGTCACCGGTGGCTTCTGGAACCTTGACCTGCTCCTCGGTGAGGAAGCGGGTGAGGGTGACAATATCCGTGTTGATGTTCTCCTGTCCTACGGGAGGAGCACCGCCATTGCCGCTTGAAGACATGTTGTGCAGCGTGTGATTTGAAGCTGGGTGAAGAGAGGGCTTGTGAAGTAGTAGTAGTACAAGTGGAAAGCGGAGACAATCTAGTCTGGCGCTGGCTGCTTCTTTTTAAAAGAACTTTGGCTTTTCAACCTCGGGTCAACGGGGAAAGCAGGAAGATGCGGAGATAACCAGGGTACAGAGGAGGGGTGGGAATGAGCTGGGAGGAGCGGTTGAGATGTAGTTTATAAGTACTTTGGGACAAGTGGAGGAGGGAGGGACAGTTGGCAATGAGTACGTAGATACGTAGAAGCTGCAGGAAGAAAGTGATCTATCTATGCTCCATCCCAGGAGAACAGGGGCATCCTTTAAGTGAGCGTTGGGGCCAGCTAGGACCAATCTTTTACCGGGTTAGGAACCTAACGTCAGAAGCCAGAATAAACCGGACATTTACAACAAAAGAGAGAGAGAGAGAGTGGAGAGAGAAAGAGCATCCAGAACCCTTTTCCCTTTGGGCCTGACGCAATAACTAGAAAGGAAGGATGGTTTTCGTCATTTCCCCCACTCTAACCCGGTTTGGGCGGGTTCCCGGCTCTTTCTCTTGCCTTCGCCCGGTTTAGCCCCGAATTTCCCCGCGCTGGGATCTGGAGTTTCTTTCTACCAGTACGGAGTAGTCTATCCCGCATACTATGTAGAATAGTAGCTACTAGATATTTAGTAGAAATGATATTTTTGTGGTCAAGCTTTTAGATCCCATCCTGTGTGCTTCATTATATGCCATTGATTCAACCCTTCCATTCGGACGAGCAACAGCGATAAACACACCCCACGTTGGTTCGACCCGGACTATTGAACTCCCTCGGCTCGTATTAAGGGGCTTAGAGAAAAATGTCGCATAAGCGCAGCTAGAAAGGATACCTAGACTATCTCTCAGCCCGTTGTACCTAATCGCGGCGGGTGGATTTCGGATGGTCACCAGACATGCGAATTTTGATAATCCGCGTCAAACTATGCCGAACTATTCGAGTCTCGCCCGCTCTGTTTAATCAGTCGATTCCGGATCCCTCCTGAACAGCCGGAGTAGTACCTCCTGCTCCGTTGATCAACAAGGGATAGGTTAGTAACATGTCTCAAACATTTGGTCCAGCCTAATTGATCAGAGCTATTGCTCTGGCCATGAATAGTTAGTATGATCCCCCATGTCAGTCTATTATTATACGAGTTTCATCCATCGGGAACCCGATTCAAAAGCGGAAGGTAAGACGGGAAGTTCCACCGCTTTCTCTTCCGCCTTCTGAGGCAAGACAGACACGGCAGAATGGGTTGTCGGTTAGATGCTTACCTAAACCACTCATAACCGGACCACATTGGGGCTAGCTTCTCGGTAAAATTAGCTCCGAACGGAATGCTTGAAAAACTTCGACGCGGATTTCCAGCTTTCTTCCCACACAACAACATCCCACACTGTGTGATGCCTTCCTATAATGCCCGTGGAAGCATGCATCACATATCTGTAGAGATCACCACATTACCGTGGCTTTGCTCACCTTTGTTGTTGAACTGACACATCTCGCCCTCGATGCACAGGATTCAATTGGTAAGTGCCACAATTGCCAGCGCTTCCATCACCCCCATTCCCCTCTTTTATGATGATACCTACAACCATTTCAAACTAGAGTCTTTGACCCCTTCAGGGCATGAAAACTCACTTGTTTTGCACGTCAGTCTGATGCTTTTGCTCAAGACATTGTTCAATTTTCCAGGCATTGATCACAGCAGGATGCTAACGGTCAACAGGACACTAATACTCTCTCATCTAGCTCCCAGAACAATGTGCGAGTCTGTCTGATTCAATGGTAAGCTCTCCCTTTTACCTTTCCTTTCCTTCTTTCTCCCCATGACTTGCATGATGCTTCTTTTACAATATATACGCTGGAAATTACCGACTGAGACCTTCGGGTCATCGACGATATAAATTGGCTATTTCTGATCAGTCATCAAAAACTGCCTATTCTTTTCACTGCCATCAATTTTGTTCGCATATGCTGACGGTTACAAGATTGTCTACAGATCTCACAGGCTCATATCTCCACATATAGTTGGCGAAGGGTAAGCTATATTCTCACTGTCTCCTTCGTCTCCATCCCTTCGAAGATGAAACGGCACTGGGCTCCGACGGCGTCAGACATAACGTCCGGTCTTGATGGATATGCCCTTTTTGCGGCAGGCCTAGAAAACCTCGCCCACTGAGATAATCCTCAACAATGAAGATTCACACATGATAACCTCTTGGCTTGAAGCTAACTGGTAATCAAAGACGGCAGATATCTTGCTATGATCTTCTCTCTATGACACCTAGTAAAAGGTAAATTCAAGCCCTCTTCCTGCAATTCCCCAGTACACGAGGATGATTCCCTAGATGACGAGTCTTATTCGAGTTATCGATGCAGACAACATCTTTTTTATACCATTCATGCATTTCTGAAATACTTGTTCTCACATAGAACGTTGCATCAGTTGGCTCAGACCAAGGCTAACTCAATTGCAGTATAGGAATGTTTATTGGGACAACATGTTGCTCCAGTATAATGTCTCCGACCGTCAGGTATCTGTATGTCACCATCTCTATTCTCCGTCTGGCCCACATCGTACAATGATGAAACGACACAAAACAAAGACAAGCATATGTCCAAGTTGGCTTTGCCGACCGGGACGACAATCGTCATGACTGATCAGTCAAAATGTTGTCAATACATCATCTTCAACCTCGCACGTCTATGGTGACTGACCAGCGTGGTAGTTATCAGTAGTTTCATTGCCAGCGAAGAGCTCAACATTATACGTAAAACGTGAGTATACACTCTTTCGCAGCTCCCATTCCCCTTGTTTAAATGATGATTTACTACTATTTTATCACGACGGTCAACATAAAATATTTAACCTTGATGACCACCGCCTGTGACAGGGCATTGGATCTGATATGCACCTTGCTCATTATGATTGTTTTCGTTGCACATAATGTGTGGAGTCTTTGCTGACATGACTTCAGTAATATTATAGGCCTTGATCTTCGATCGACATGCTCCAATCGTTTAGGGGCAACGATCCTGTCCATGCGGGACAAGAATCGTACAACATGCTGGCATGTTCTTTCAGCCGGAATCTTTAGCTTGCAGTAGTCCGAATTCATAGCTACTATAATAAGAATCAATCCCTGGTTGTACTTGCATCTATCTTTATCGATAACCCTGTAATGCCCTGGTCTTCTGCGTAGGCGCTCATGGCCTGAGGCGACGGCGTCCCGTGCCCTTGTCATGGCGCGCCCGATTTGCCTACGGACAAACCTTTCACCCTATCGCAGACCCTGTGAGATGTCTGGACTACTGCTAGGCCTTGCTAGTCTTGACCATCTTCGTCATAGGCCGATGTGACAGCGATGCTGGTTTGTTGGAACAGGGTCTGGGCGAAGGGGAGCACGGAGGGCAACGAGCCTGTGAGAAGGCGCGGACGGACAACTTAAGCGCCAGCATCCACGCCGCCTGTGATCAAACCGGCCAGGCTGCATCTCGCGGGATGCACTAGTTCTCTGAAGAGTCAAGACCTGCAATCCCCCCTTCCTCATCCCCGCCCGCTGCTTGTTGGCTCTTGTGCTATTTTTAACCCTTAGAGGGACTCTAGCAGACTAGCACACATCTTGCTAGCCCTCCCTGGTCAGTCGATCGAAACCCACGATGCTCGTCGAAACGGTTGATACGTACCGACTGGCCCGTCTGGGCTTGCAAGCCTCCTCCACACCTGGTTGGACCAGAGGTTGTTGCAAAGAATAGAAATCGGTCTGCGCTTCAGCCCTCTGGCTCCTTCTCAATCGCTCGTCCGTGTTGGCACAATCTAATCTCCCTCCTGCTTTTCCAGCCCTCAGCCTTCAGCCATGGCTCCGTGTTCGGTTGGCCCTGCATCCTTCCGTTAGTATGAATAGGTGCGCCCAGCTTTTCTCACACGCTGTGGTCCTCGACTTGTTCTCGTGTCTGTCTCGCAACGCTGCAAGGTACTGATCACGGCCTCTTTATAGCTGGCGATTGTCGGGCAATGCTGGCGACGAGCCGCCGTCTGGTCCTTATTCTTACAGCGGCTGGCCGACACCTCTTACCTCCAGCAATCAGCCGTCTCCTAGTCGTCGAGAGCATGCTGTACAGCCCCCTCCTCTGACAACATCGTTGGGTGGTCACCAATTCCAAGGGCTTGGACTCGCGCTGGGTTCCGGCTACAGTTCCACCCCTCTTTCGTCGACTTCACTGTCTAGTCCTTTCACGCAAGGCCAGTCTCCCGCCGTAGGCTCGCCTGGAGGGGCGGCAATCGGATCCTCACCAATGGCTTCTAGACAATACAATGTGCCTTACAATCCTCAGGATTGGGGCCCAGTGGGAACTGGTTCGATGAATGCTGGCCAAGCTACATATACACCACCGAATAACATGCTGCGAATCGTCTCTCAGCCACGGTCAACAGGACCACACTCAGGTCTGTCATATGTTTTCTTCTGTCCCTCCTTCCCTGACTCCCTGACTCCTTGTCACCCTTATACTCCTTCACCCTTTGTAGTCTTGGGACTTTCCAGCTTGCTGTATGTCCTCGGTGACCAGGAATGAACCTAATGTGACTTTGTAGATGTATCTTTGTCGCCGCCTCCACCACCATACTCTCCACCAAGCCAGCAACATCAGAGAGAAAATGTCAGCCAGAATACATCCTCAAGAGGCTCCACGTCGCCCAGTATGAGCTCTTCATATAATGGGGCGGTGCGTGCAGGTGGGGATGCTCCCTCAGAGTATCGACAGCGCCGCCTTCCCCGTACTCGCCCTCTGTCGATGTTTGTGGGAAGTGAGTCGAGCCACAATCGACGTGTCTCGCTACCACCACCTCCGCCGCTGCCACCAGGCCTTTCATCTAGGTCTTCATCCCAGAATAGGTCAGAGACCTATCGAGAACCCGCACCAGTTATGGCAGGGCCAGGGCCGCACATTGTGGTCTCGCCTGATAATCTCCACTCGACACAATTGAGCGACAATAGCAACATGCTTGAGCCCACTCAACCCTTTGAAACGGATCGGCCTCCAGCTGCGAGAAGGGCCGTGTCTGCTGGACCGGCCGTCAACAGTGCGAGTTCGTCAAGAGCTCATAGTCAGTCTGGAGCCCGATCCCCTCCGGGAAGTAGTTGGGAACCGGGAATGCCCCTTCCTCCACCCCCACCAGGACCGCCACCACCGGCCACAAGGTCACAGAGTGTGAATGGTCTCTCTGACTCGTCGACATCCCGGAACTCGCAAGGCCCTGCTAGGAGTGGCAGGGCACGGCCGCCTCCAGTTTCAGGTACAAGTTTAGATAGCATTCCGCCAACACCAGCTGGATGGGTCGATGAAACAATCGATGTTAAACCCAGAGCAGACAGACAACCACTAACCATTGACACGGCAACTACAACCAATATGAGCGGCCCGGAATCTCTCGAGTCGTCTCGCGCAAGTCATAATCCCAATAGCGGTGGTCTGTTTCGCAGCCCAGCTATCAAAGACCCAAATGCTAAAGGCATCCGAGAAAGGAGGATTGAACGCCGGAACAGGCAAAGCCAAGTGCTTGATAGCCTCAGTGCTGTCTCCATGAGCAGCAACCCCTGGGCTGAAGCTCTCGAACAATTGAAACCCTCCAACTTAGTTTTGGGAGAATCGAGCGTGGATACGGACAACGGCAGAAACCCGGCCTCGGCCAAAGCCGCACCTCTCAGCACTCGCAGTATATCTTCTGATGGACCGCAGATTACATCACGATCTAGAGCATCTTCTGGGGGTCTATTTTCGAACCGGTCTTGTTCCACCCCAAAGCCTGAGCCGAGTCCTCAAGCGCCCACCTCAACCTCGCGGTTTGCGCAGACGCCGCCGTTTTCACCGGGCACAGAAAGGTCATCTGCATTTGCTAAGCGTACATCGCCAGCACTACCACCCAAAGCCCTGCCAACGCCCCCTCTGCAATCTGGGTCAGAAACTACACCGTCTCGGCCTGGCTCCAAGGAAGAACGACCGGTCTCACATATACTACACCTTCCTAACGAGCCGGTGACTACAGTCTCACCCCTAGCCCCACGTCGCGTGTCGGCCCAACAGAATCCCTCTCTCGACTCTGTCGTTAACCGCGATGACGAATTTGTCCGGAACGCTATACAGAGACATCGGGAATTCATCGAGAAGGAGGCCGGCACAATGGACGAGAAAGAGGCATTGCAGTTGTTCGCCGACTTCATCACCTCCGAGTCCCAGATCCGGCGTGAGAAGTATGCTAAAGTATGGGATTTGGATTCTTATGATGTTGACAGTGTACGCCGTAAATTGTTTGTCTGCCCTCCCAAACCAGCGCCGGTGCCACAGAATAGCCAAGTAGTACCAGGTCCATCTTCTAGAAGGGCGTCCAATCCTACGGCACCTAAGCTAAGTATACCCCAGGTACGTCCTGAATCGGCCTGGTGGAATAATTACCAACCATGCCTCTCGCCAATTGCAAGTCTTGGGTTGAGCAATGACGAGATGAGCTCGAGGGGACGGGCGCCTAGTCGATGGTGGGAGTCCAAAACTGGTTCTAGCAGTGAAGGGGGAGAACGAAGAGTGCAAAGGTCAAAGAGGGAGACCAAATATATGGGGTTATCACGTGGGGCCCTGCTATGGGAGGAAAGTCAAGGCTCGTCTGACACAGGAAATGCCGGCGCGTCGAATGGAGGAAATCAGTACGCTGCATATGGTCCTGACGAATACCCACCCGAAAAGGTAGGGTGGCACGAGGAGTCTGCCCCAGCAGACTACTCCAACAGTCTCCGCCTTGGATCTGCTAGGCGGTTTGAAGAAGTGCAGAGGATGGATGTCTCGAGACTGATCACCTTACCGCCGCCGTATCCTAGACACTATCCCGCGGTCAACAACAGCCACCCCGACCTCGTGACTTATCGGACGTTGGTGCGATCAATTACAGACTTGTCGGAGATCAAGACCACCAGGCAGCGGCACCAAACCGAGATGGATGGGATGTTCCAGGATCACCAGGCACGAATCCAAGAAGGACGACGGCAATTCAAGGCCAATATCCAGAGTCAAATCCAACAAGGCAGTATCACATTCGCAGAAGCGGCGGAAGCAGAAGCCGCATTAATTGTGGAGGAAAACCAACTTGAAAGAGATTTGATCAAGGGCGGGCTGGATACATACCAAGAAACGGTTTTCAAGCCAATGCGAGCGATTCTTGCAGACAGGGTTGACAGGGCTACTGCTTGCATTGACGAGCTACGTGGCAGGCTGTTTGACGACGCGCGATCCGAGACCCCAGATCAAACCCAGGAAGAAGGTGATGAGAAGCCAGAGCTCCTGGAGAAGCTCACACAACTCAAATGGTTGTTTGAAGCGCGCGAGCAATTGCACCGCGAGGTATTCGATCTGATCAGCGAGCGCGACGAAAAGTACAGAGCGGTGGTCCTACTACCCTATAAGCAAGCATCCAACGAGGACAAAGTACGCGAGACCAATGAGTTCTTTGTCAAGGACGCCTTGGATCGCCGAGTGGAGTACGAGGCCAATGCCCTAGCACGTCTCGAATCCTTTTTAGATGTGATCGAGGGCAATGTAGCGCGAGGGGTGGAGATACAGCTGTCGGCGTTCTGGGATATTGCACCGTCTCTGTCAGAGTTGGTGCAACAGATCCCTGAAAAGCTCCGTGGCTTTACTGTGCAGATTCCGGCCAACGAATACGACGAGAATCCGAGTTACCGGGCACATCCGCTGCAGTACCTATATACGCTCGTATCTCACGCGGAAAAATCCAGTTACCAATACATCGAGTCGCAGATCAACCTTTTTTGCCTACTGCACGAGGTCAAGTCCGCTGTTATGAGGGCCAGCTGCAACCTTATGGAGGCAGAACGAATCCGCTTGGGCGAGTCCGAGGGCAAGGTGCAGCAGGAAATGCAGGAAACCCGTACAGATGAAGAGCGCACCTTGACAAGCGATCTGAAAGACAAGGTAGCTACCGTGGAGGGCCAGTGGGCGGAAGCCCTAGGAAGTGGGATCCAGCGTCTACGCGAACGAGTGAAAGAGCAGCTAATGGTTGAAGATGGATGGGAGGATTTGGAGCAATTGGAGCAGGCATGATAAATGGAAGCAAGTTGTTATTGGTTCACGAATGATGACTGACGAGGGGCTATCAAGAGTTTACTTCTTTGTCGATTTCTGCGGTTTTGTTCACTGTTGTTTCCTGATTGAGTGATTTGATTACTGTGTCGCTAGAAGATACCCACATTCGTTTGCAGCTGCGAATCCACTTGATTATTGAGGGAATAAATGGAGATATCCTGGTAAGATTGTTCCTCCGCGCCGATGACCGGACGGGTAACCACGTGACCCATGCGGCTTCTAGAGGTTTCCTTCCGGATCCTCGAACTTTTTCCCCTTTTGCCTTTCCCTTCTCCAAACCAACTCGTAGTCTTATTTAATACGGGCTTCTCCCCTCCCCCTCCGCTTCCACGGTACCATCCCTCTTTGCTCTTACTCTCCCATTGCCACCTGGGACTTGATTGATCTGTCTTTGCTCCAGCGTCTTTAAAGTGAGACGATTTTTCTGTGACTGTAAGTTGCCTCTGATTTTTTTTTTTCTGCCCAATTCTGCACACACTTCACACCCTCCCAATCTTGACCTGGTTCTCCTCCTATAAGGAAGGGATCCTGTCTCGGAGAGGGCTGTCCCATCGAATGATGAGAACTCATAGCTGGCACCAGTCAGACGGGGATGAAATCATCCTCCATGCTGAGTAGCTTGCGGTCCGGGAAACGCTATCCGGATCCTGAAACGATGCCTCCACTCATATTTGAACATTATCGCACTACTTTATATGGCTATGAATAAATGCTAATATTCTATGTGCGATGCAGAACACAACAGCTTTTTTGGCGAAAGAAGGAAGAAGAAAAAAGACACGGACTCGCTAAACAAATTGACCCACTGGCGAAGTTCAGCCCCGCAATAGAGCAGCTTTTCTTTCCATCGAGATCCTTAGACCAATTGATAATAAATTAAACTACCACCATCATGGTTCTTCACAACCCCAACAACTGGCACTGGGTGAACAAGGATGCCTCCGGCTGGGCCAAGGACTACCTTAAGGAGAACCTCTCCGTCCTCTCCGTCGAGGAGAATGGAGCCTCTGCCAAGATCTCCAACCTGCTGAGCATGGATGGCGATGTAGACGTCAGTCAGAGAAAGGGCAAGGTCATCACCTTGTTCGATGTCAAAGTACAGCTCGAGTATGAAGGTTCGTAATTAAGCAATGATAGTGTTTCTCTCTGTTCAGGGCACACCACTAAGACCTTTGACAGGTAAGACTAAGGACGATGAGTCCGTTAGTGGAAAGATCACCATCCCCGAGGTTGCTCATGACACCGAGGAAGATGAGTACGTCGTATGTTCCCTTTAGCCCCTCGTATTCCCATAGCTGTCCGGCCAATTGACCCCATGGCTCTTTAGTTTGAGATTGAAAACTACTCGGATTCTCCTTCCAAGCAGGCCGTGAAGGACCTGGTTCGCTCCAAGCTCGTTCCTCAACTCAGACAGGCTTTGGGCAAGTTTGGTCCCGCCCTCATTGCTGAGCACGGCAAGGACCTCCAACACGCTCCTGGCGTCAACCCTTCCAGCGGATTCGCTGCTCCCAAGTACCACCCTCAGACTTCCAAGAAGGAATCCTCTGCCCCTACCACCACCACCACTACTACCGCCGAGAAGGTTTCGGTCAACACTACTACCGTGACCGCTTCAGACGAGTTCCGCACCACGGCTGAGGAGCTGTACAACACCTTCACCGACCCCCAGCGCATTGCTGCTTTCACTCGCGGCCCCCCTCGCCAGTTTGAGGGCGCTCAGGTCGGCGGAAATTTCGCCATCTTCGACGGAAACGTCACCGGCGAGTACACCAAGCTCCAGGCCCCCACCTTGATTGAGCAGAAGTGGCGTCTTGCCCAGTGGCCCGCCGGTCACTTCAGCACGCTGGAGATCAAGTTCGATCAGAACGATGTCGACGGCGTCACTCAGATGCGCGTGACCTGGACTGGCGTCCCTGTTGGTCAGGAGGATGTCACCAAGCAAAACTGGGATGTCTACTACGTCCGCAGCATCAAGCAGACTTTCGGGTATGTTCTAATTCCCTTGCTTTGCCTATTAGCCAATTGCTTCCTCACAATGGCTTGCCAGATCTTCCTTTTCTTGGACACAGTTGCTGATGGTTGTTTTTCTTCTTCTCGGTATAGGTTTGGCACTATTCTCTGAGCGCATCCGCGAAACCATGACCATATCATGATCTAAATTCAGCACTTGGGGGGGTATGAGGGCGACAACGGATCCTGTCTACATCCACGCGTCCTGTAGAAGACGGGGGTAGCGAACTGCTTTTTGGATTCTTGACAAACTGTGTTTCTGGGACAGGCAATCTTGCGCCGACTCATCCTTACCTCACCTGACCTGATATAAAACTCCTCCCCTCCAAGCAAATGGGGGGTATGCGTCCAACGAATGCACGATAGACAGACCATGAACATATTAGTAGATGAGACAAATCACGATAGGAAGAAGACTCTGAAATTTGCACTTCTACACTTCTGGTAACTGTTACATACACATAACACCTCTACTGTTCTTTCTTGCAATAATCACTGCTTCATCAAAACCGATCTGAATTTTTGATCTACCCTATGTTTTTTCTCTAACACCCATCTCCAAAGTCGTTAATATATCGTCATAGAAGAGAATTTATAAGAGAAGAGATACTCTTTACAGAGTCTTCTCGATCATCTCAATGCCGTAGTCCTCCTTGAGGGTCTTGATCAGAGGAGCGCAAATGTCCATGGTCATGGGAGCAACAACACCCTATGATAGCAACAACAGTTAGCAATCCATCCAACAACCCACTCAACCAACGCCAGATATACAAGGAAAGAACCACCATACCTTCTGGTTAATAGTACCATCCAAGACCAACTTAACAGCGACACCACAAGGCACACCAACAGTCTTAGCCATAGCCGAGTACCCACCGGGCACACCATATTCGCAGAGAGTGGAAGTACGAGTCTCCTTCTGACCATCCTTGTGCTCGATCTCGAACTTGTGCTGCAGCATAACCAGATCACGCTCACCCTCCTCATACTGCATCTTCTTCTCGAGAGTAGCGCAGAGAGTATCGAGCGGGTTACCACGGGGAGTGATCTGCTCGTCACTGAAGAGGCCGATCCAGCGAAGACCGGAGATGATGCGGTCGCGGTCATCGTTGTTAGCGAAGGCCGTCTTGGAGGCAATGGCCCACTCGAGGTCCTTCTCGGCGGAGGAGGTGGCGCCGAGGATCTGCTTCGTGGCCTCCTTCCAGGCAATGGGGCTGTTGAGGTACTCGCGGCCCTCGTCGGACAGGAAGCCGATGTCAACCAGAACCTTGATCATCTCGGGGAAGCCCTGGTAGCGGAGGGTGCCGCGGACGACGGTCTGGGCTTCGGGGATGTTGTAGCGCTCCCGGTAGGGGCAGGAGTCGCGGTTGGGGTAGGCGACGAAGGCGAAGCCGGGGTAGATGAAGTAGGGCTTGGCGGTGGCCATCAGGTCGGGACCGGCGACGCTGAATTCTTGGCCGTCCTTGTAGAACTTGGCGGCGTTGCGGAGGGCAAGGAGGACACCGCGGCTGGACCAGCTGAACTTGTAGCCCAGGGGGTTGTTGGAGCACTCGGGGGCGGCTGGTTGAGGGGGTTAGGATGGGGTTTCGTTGTGACGTTTTTGGGGAGGGGGGGGGGATGACTTACGGAGGCCACCGCAGTAGCTGAGGAAAGAGGTGATCTTGCCACCTTCGGCGTGAACCTAAAGTGGTGGGTTAGGGATGGGTTGAGTGGTGATGGTGGTAGGGTGGGTGATTCTGGACGTACCTCGGAGATGGTCTTGACAGCGTAGAGGTGGTCAATACCCTTTTTGGAGGGTTGGTTAGCTCACTGTATAGTATGATATGGGGATGATGTGGATAGATAGACATACAGGGTCCAGACCGATCTCGTTCATGACGGTGATGCCGGCCTTCTTGCACTCCTCATCCAGCTCCATCATGGCGGGGGAGACGTAGGAGGTGGTGACGACGTGCTTCTTGGTGCGGATGGCGGACTTGATGACATTGGCGTGGAAGGTGTAGGGGATCAGGGAGATGGCAAGGTCAACCTGCTCCAGAGCCTTGTCAAGAGCAGCATCATCGGTGACATCGAGGGAGATGGCCTTGGTGTTCTTGAAGCCTTCGCAGAGCTTCTGAGCACTCTCGAGGGTTCTGCAGGCTGTTGGGGTATAGTAGACGATGGTCAGCTATGTTGGATGCTACTAGATAGGGATTGGATATAGTAGGAACTCTCTCAATTGAGCTGTACGTACCAACAGTGACGTTAACGTCAGCCTTGCTGAGAACCTCAACGGTGGGCTTCGTGACTATCGAGACATTGAGTCAGTGGGATGGAGTCCATCAATTGACCCCCAATGCGGGGGTCCGAATCGGCGGGGGAGAGTGGAAGAGAGATGGGAGGCATACCGAAGCCCGAGCCCAACAGGAGAACCTTGGAACCGGCGACAGGCATGATGACAATTGGGAAGATATCAGGGTATTAGATTGGGAAAACAGGAAGGAAACAATATCAGGAGAGGAATAAAGTTGAGTCAGTGTTGCGAGTGGTTGCTTCGATTCCCCCGCCAGTGTGAGTCACGTGGGGCTGCCCACTTGGTCGGATGCGGTATCGGAGGCTGCGATAGCGGACACTCTATTTTATCTGATTATTTTACATGATCCGTGATTCCCCGAGGTGGAGATGCTGTCCCGTATAGTATATTGTAACTATAAATTAGGTGCTATGTCTGCATCTATATGCTCATCATGGAAACCCTTTTCTTTCAGCTTTCAGCTCAGTGAGTGCTATAAATTCTAGATGGATGACAGGATGGGGGGAATATTTGTCAATGCTCCCAAGGATGACTCCAAAACTCCCAATGATCGATGCCAGGACGGTAACCCAGTCCATGTATACAACAACAGAGAAAAAGATAAAAAGTGAACATAACAATCTACAGGTCTTTGACCTTGCCATTACTTTCCTCCGCAGAGTCAGACGTATCGCCGTCAAAGTTGCCCTCCGCATCCGGGTTCTTCTTTGACTTGGAGATTCGACGCTGCCATCTCAGCATCACGGGCAGGAACTGCCAAAGGTCAAATTCCGGCCATAGGACGTCGAGGAAGACAATCTCCGTATCCTCGTGGCATTGCCACAGCATGAAGTCACTAAGGCGCTCAACTCCAGACGTCCGGACCAGCAGATCTAGAGGAGGATTGTCATGGGTGAATAAATGCTCTGACAACGTCTGGCGTGTAATCGTCTCAGGGGACATAAAGACGAGGCTCTCCTTCCCGACGGCGGGTTCTGCTGCTGGTACTTTCCCATTGGCAGCATCTTGTTGCCCGGCGAGGTGGAGAGTCGACGAGGAAGAAAACGAAGATCCGTTTTCATAGACTCCGTTCGGTGTCTTGTGCTTCGTCGTTTCGCCGTCTCCTGATGACTCTGATGCCGCTTCCGAGTCACTCGGTACCTCTTCCCCTTTCGAAACCTGCGTCTGTGCTCGAATGTTTTGTGTAATGTGGGATTCGGAAAAGGGTGTCCTCGAGGAGATAGACGACGGACGAGTCGACGGAAGGGGCTGGCTGTACTCGGCCACGGTATCTCGGACAGCCGTGGTGATCTCGTCGCGCGACGTATACGGAAAACAGATGTTCAATACGCAGTCACCATTGTTGCTGGTCATTTCCACGGCCCGGTTCACTGCAGCGAGAACATCCGGCCTGAGCAAGTCCAACCGACCCAATATCCGCACCTTGGCCCCATAGCGATCGAGGATCTCGCCATGCTGAGCCATCTGCGACAACTTCACCCTGGCCATCTCCATCAGTGCATCCACCTCGAATTTGGAGCGTTTGAAGTTTTCGATGCTGAAGGCGTAAATTGTAACTACTTTAACGCCGCTCTTGTAACAGACTTCGAGAATCTAAGCCACGGTATAAGTTAGCAGCTGACACTGGCGGAAGACAGAAGTTCTCTATGAACCGAACTCCATCGGACTCACCCTTGCCAAAGCCTCAAACCCCATGTTGTGTCCTTCCACCGTTTCAATCCCGTGCGTTCGGGCAAACCTCCGGTTACCATCCATGACGAAAGCAATATGTTGTGGAACTGGACCCTGTCGGATTGCTCCAACCAAGAGGTCCCGAAGTTGCCCAATGGCAAACTCGATTGGCGGCGAAGCAAGGAGCCATTTCCGGAACCTCGACAAGTGTATCGATGTCGACATCTTGAATGATCATGCGTATATTTCAGAGTATGACAAGCTTTTCCGAGTCGAAAAGGGCTGGTTTGTGGAAGGCTGCGAGAGAAGCGGAGGAGGTTTCACGATGCAAGACGGGGGGCGTCCGTGTAGTGCAGGGGCGATGCACCAGGCAGTATTTCGATATCCTGACAAGTGGACCCAAGCAGCCGCACCCTATTAAACTGGAGAGCAAATATGAAAGAGATGACGGCCACCAGAGGTGTAGTAAGGGTAATGTAAGCTTTGGGATGTGCCCGGTAGGGCCGTGCTCATCAGGCTACACTGTTCTTTTTTTGTTCGCGTTCGATCGTCTCCCGGGGGGTAACGGGGATCGTCGGTTCGGCGGACCCTCAAGGAGTGACAGAATACCACAAAATGAACCACGAGGGAATTGAAGTCGCAGAAAGCGGTGACAACGAGCGAAGAGGCAAAGGAAATAGCGCAGAAGGGGGAAACGTAACCTGGATGGAAGACGGGGTGGGTCGGCCGTGACTTTGATCGGACGGTTTTCTCCACGTGTAAAGACCCAATAACAGCTCTCAACGTAACCGCGGCCTTTGAGCTGCTCCCCAGCCTGGCCCGGCCATGCCTGAGGATACCTTTTGCTGCCTCACCGGCAATCCTGACCTCCCCGAACAATCAGGAAGAGAATGTCATCGGAGAAGCTTATATAGAGTGATGGTGTTGAAATTGTACAGCGACACGCGAGATAGAAGTCCCCTGGGCCACATGCAGCCACTTTTTTTTGTCAGCTGACAATCTTCAACCAAACCAAGCACCTACCATCGCTTTGTGAATTTGCATGACAGCCACGCTGACAGATATCACGAGAGAAGTGTAATCCGATGATTCTGGCTGAATCGAAATAATTCTGGCAATAGGCATGGGGTGGCTTTCATCCTTATCACCCTCTGTTCGAGAATAGCCCTCTGGGCCCAGATTAGCTTCGTACATTAGCGCCACCCATCCTCGTCTTTTGACTGTTACCATCTTGATGCAAGGAGTCAGTCAAGCTCTTTCAATATGGCTGAATATAGTAAGGGATTCCACAGAATGTCGAGTCATTCCATGTTGCCTGATAGGATTGTTTACGAATAGTTTTTGCTGAGGAGTGCGTAGCTTATTCGAAACCCCGGGATCGTAGGTCTATCTCAGGTCATACACAAAGCGTTGGTGCAAAACTTTCAAGTTGCTTAGTCCAAGGAACAATATCTCCGAAGATTTGGCTAGCTAGCTATTCAAATAACTATATCTGACCGTGCCGATAGTGTCCATGCGTCCAACCACCGATTAGTCTTCCGCCTCTGGAGACACGAGAGGTCCGTGTCATCTACCTAGCAAACAATATTGCTAATACTGCTTTGATTCAATGATACATGTCCATATCCCTGAATCCTGCATGTGCGCATTGATATAATTGCTGCAAATTATCGACTTTTGAGGTCCGTGGACGTCGACACCAGGGTAGAGTATGCAGGCTTCCATCCACAGAAATGAACTCTGTGTTAGCTTAATCATCCTGTTGGGTAACTACTATTTTCTAGACTGACATCCACTCTGCCATCCATCCAATTGTAATCAAGGCACTATATCGCATGCGGGAATGATTGGGTTTCCGGGCGAGGGGGCACAGGAAGTATGCGAGTAGTGGACGCAGTAGTCCCTAGTTAGTTCATCCATGGTAAAGAATAAGATAAGACCGGAAAGAAGGAAGCCGAATATGGCCTAATAAGGATTGCAATTTGGATGTTCGAATCCTTCTGCGTTCCCAAACCTCTCTGAATAGATTCGGCGCCCATATGAAGGCTCCTCCTTTATGTCCGACATGTTGAAGAGAAGTCCGAACTGGCCAGCCGCTCGAACCGAGACACCTTGAGTGTGTAAGGAGTTGGAGAGTTGGAAAAGCTTCCCCGCCTGACGGCCGCCCCGCGGACTGCTTCGTCTCCCGCCTTCGGGCTTCACTGGCTCGCTTTCCTTCAGAAATTCCTGGGCATCGTTGAAAACCTCTAGGAGGTCTGTTGTTCCATCGAATATCATTACCACACACATAGAAGAAAAGACATCACTAAACTTTTCTGCCGTTATACGAAAGTGGTCCGCTGCAGCTACTACTGCTGCTATCGCCTCACTTCTCATCAGTACCACTTTCGGGTGCTTCGCCATCAACGCAGTGGAATCTGGAATACCACATCTGACATTCTTTTGTCTGAATCGCTTTATCAGCGATCGGAAAACTATTCACCAACCCTTGGAGAATTCTCATCATTTCCGTCCCGCCAATCATCCCTGGATCGTCTCACCTGAAACTGGACCCTGGTGCTACTCATTGGTTGGATTGTTTCAGCCAATGCTGCCCTCTCTTCATTCTGCACTCTGAATCCATCCTTCCAGTAACTCGTCCTCGAACGATATACTATCTGATTCCCACAGCACTTAGCCTTCATCCCGGCACAGTCTGCACTCAGCCACACAGACCACGTTCTCGGTCGTGGCTTTGACAAAATGTCGATCAAGTATGTAGATGTTCCCCACCATGCCCCGGTTGAGCGAGCTACTCTTTTTATCGTTCTGCATGCACTCAGTATCGATGGTTTTTCTTCATCGATTTATCACCTCTGATTTGTTATTTCTGCTACGCTGTATCAGATGAACCAACTTTCTTCTCCCTTGTCTCTCGCATCATCCCATGACACCCTAGCATGCACACTTCTCAGTCAGAAGACCTGCGTTGTATACTTTGTTTCAACCCAGAATGGGGATAGCAGGCCGGAGAAACTATGCTAATTAAATACCCAATACAACAGCTGGGTGATGCTGCAAGGCCCCGAAGGCTTTGTTCGACTACCCAATGAGCATCAGTTGTTCGCCTCTCCTCCGCGGACAACTCTGTCTCTGCAACCCCTAGGCTCTAGCGCCAGCAAGGACTCTTTTTCCATGCAAAGCAGTGCCGGTCGAGTCTACCTGACAAATCAGAGGGTACTGTCTTGCTTTTGGACCCTATCATCTGACAGCTCTCGTTAACATATTCGTGTCAGATCGTTTACATTCCCGCGCAACAAACGAAAGAGTTTCAATCGTTTTCCACACCATTACTCAATGTCCATGACGCCCATGTCACTGCACCATTCTTTGGGCCCAATGCATGGTTGGCGCTAGTCCAGCCGGTATCTGGAGGAGGCATCCCTGCGTCGTTGCCTGCCGTGCAGCTCAAGGTGACATTCAAAGAGGGAGGGGCGTTTGATTTCCACAACAATTTCGAAAGAATCAAAGAGCGTCTACAACAGGCTGTCGAGAATACGCAGGCGAGCAGTCGAGGTGCCCGAAATGTTGACATGTCTGCAATCCACCTCGACGAGCTACCTGCGTACACCGGCCCATCGGGTGGCACAACCGGAGCAGACCACAGTACCGCACAGCAATCTGTAAGCCCACAGTCTCAACACACAGGGCCAGAAGCGGGATCGGAGCCGATGGAGCCACCACCGGATTATGAAGAGGTGCAGCAGCAGAGTGTGGCGGAAGCGCTCGAGGAGAGACTGCGTCGAGCCAGTTGAAGCCAGGACGGGCGCCGTATCCAATGCTTTCTTCCATGACTAGATAGTCTCCAATTTCCTACACACATATTCCGGCGGTAGCCTCAAGCCCAAGCGGCCTCTTAATCTTTTTTTCTGTATACTACTTGGAATTTTATTGTTGAAATACAGTGCATCACAAATAGTAGACCCCGTAGTTAAAAGTAACAACAACAACAACGGAACGGCACGAACATTAACCAACTAATAAATTAATTTGATAGTAACAAAACGAAATATCACCGCATTAGTCACGGCCGACCCGAGCGGCCAATCACGTGTACGATAATTGCGACCATCGCCCGGCGGCCGGGGTGTTCCGATTTTCCAGGGCCGGCAGAAACCAGCAACGCCAAAGCTTCGAGTTCGTTAAAACCAACCCCATCCTCAATTACCGCGACTTCCACCGCCCACACGCCCCCCCTTCTCGCCGTCTTCCCTCAATTGAAACCGATTTCAAAGACAAGATGGGTCTCTCCGACTTCTTCTCCGACGTTATGTCCTCCTTCGGCTTCCCCGAGGCTCAGGCTGAGGCTCCCGCCGAGGAGACCACCACCACCACCCCCAGCCAGGAGACCGAGGCTGAGGAGAAGCCCGCCGTGAACAACGAGGAGGAGGCCGCCCCTGCCGCCGAGGAGAGCACCGAGGAGTCTGCTGAGGAGACCCCTGCTGAGGAGGAGTCCGCCGAGGAGGAGCCCGCTGAGGAGGAGGAAGAAGAGGAGGAAGAGGAAGAGGAGGAGGAAGAGGAGGAGCCTGAGGACATCAAGCCCCAGCTTGAGGAGGGTAAGTTTACTGCCACTTTCATATTTCACTTATCCCGTGCATTTTCCTTGGGGGAAGTTCGTTTCCAGACGGACAAGGTGACAACAGGACGGGTAGTCGGTCAGATGGATGCACGCTGACCGACCCTCACGTCATGCGATTCTGAGCCATTGACTCGGAACAACTCATCCCATTGCAAATAATCTCATCAATTCGAACGTTTACTAATCAATTGCTTCTCTCAGAGTGCGCCAACTCTTCCCAGTGCGCCCCCTACAAGCACCACTTCGATGAGTGCGTCGAGCGCGTAACCCAGCAGCAGGAGGACCCCGACTACAAGGGCCCCAAGGAGGACTGCGTTGAGGAGTGTAAGTTGACCAGCACATCATAATACCACAATTCCTTCGACTCCATATCGCATTCATGACGAACCCAACAACAAAACCCATAAACTGACCCACCATCCTTCTTAGTCTTCCACCTCACGCACTGTGCTACCCAGTGCGCCGCCCCCAAGCTCTGGAAGGCCCTCAAATAAACGAATCAAATCACTCTCGGTCGATCGATAGATAGCTAAAGACGTCTTTTTTCTCATCTTCTTTACTCCACTCCGCGGGCTACGTTTCTTTCTAATGCACGACCAAACTTGATAAGACAGGTTCCGCGACTAAGGAAGACAAAGAAAGAAAGGCATATTACGATCGATCCCCCTTGATTTGATTCACAATATGATGGCTATGCAGGCCTGCCGTTGATGAAGATCAAAAAAGAAAAAAAGGAAAGGAGCATACATACATCCAGTGTTGTCTCTCTCGACCGCTACCCGCCCTCGACAATACGGGTAGGGGTTGCGAGTCGGTGATGATGACGATGATGCATGCGTGTTTGTTACTTTCCTTCTCCCTATGAAAGATGGATGGGCTATGGAATATGGAAATGGTTCTTAAGAAGGGGGGCGGTCGCCTTCAACTGTGTATGTACAGATAGCTGGTCTCTGCCTTGTTTGAAACTTGTGCTTTTATTATTTATTTCATTTTTTTTTTTCCTTTTGTTTACTAGATGAATGTCATTTTGTCCTAGACTTTGTTGGGTATTCCTTTTTTTCGTCTTTCTTTTTTTTACCCTTCTTGAGCATCATATGAGCTTTTATTTACAGTCACAGGTCCTGGTATTGACACATTTGATGGACGCCGGGTATCACACGTGCAATCATCAATCACAAAGTACATTCTGTACACACTGACTATAGGATTCCAGGATTACTTCCTCCACGCCACACTCAACCCCAAGAAACCTTTCTTAGTATCATCCTCCCCAGCCCCAGCTCTACGCTCCCCATCATCGCCCTGCAGTTCACCAGCCTCCTCCTGACCCAGCTCCACGCCTCGATCAACATCCAATCTCCGTCTCCTCACATCACGACCAAAACATCCAATCCAAAGCGGCCACGGCGCAGCCACGACCGTCACGACAGCAGAGAAAATCAACGCATTCTGCATATTGACCGGCGGGGAAGCGTTCTCTCCGGCCTTCAATGCATCCTGAACTAGAATAAATATCGCGCCCAATAACTGTCCACCCGTCCAGCAGATCGTGCTCCCGATTTCCGGGGAGAAAGGGTACGTGATTTCGACCAGGTACTCTAGAACAACGGGGAGGAGGGCGAAGGACGACGCGCCGAGGAGGGAGCACACGACATACGATGGTGCGATGCCGGCGGGGCTGGGCGGGGCGAAGATCAGGGCGATATAGGTGATTGCTACGATGGGGACAAGTGTGCGGATGGTGGCGAGGTAGTGCTTGTAGCGGTCTGTGAGGGGGGAGATGATGGCTGAGGCGATGAGTCCAACGATGATTAGAAGGCCTCCTGCAATGCCGGCTTCGGTTTCGGTGTATGAGTAGGGTTCGAGGATTTGGTTGAGGAGCGAGGAAACGCTGTTGAAGAAGCCGACATATATGGAGAAGGGGATTAGGATGAGGTAGAACTCGAGGGTTTTGAGGAGTTGGGTTATAGCTGGGAGGAGTGGTGTGGAGGCGTTGGTGCTCGCAGATGAAGCGCTTGGAGGTGTCGGGGGTTGGGAGGGTATGAAGAATGAGGGAAGTGCTGCTACCGTTGCCTTTTGGGTTTGTTAGTAGGTGAGTGCGACATGTCATGGCTGGCTGGGGTGTGGTTCTATCTATGTGTGGAGGTATTCTGAGGGAGGCTTACGATGATAGAGATGTACAGAACCATGTTCGGGACTTCGCTTGGTTTGGTCGCCCAGAAAGAGTCGATCAGCTCTCCCAATGCTGCACCCAAGGGATTGGCAAGGGTGGCTACGGCCGTTGCGCTGGTCCGGCCCTGGTCAGAAAACCAGAGGTCGCTGTATCGCGTTGGAGCGCTCAGACAGAATGGCTGCGCCAGACCGATGAGGATCTGACCAAACATGGCGACACCGAAGATGCCTCCTCTCGCTTTGGTCCCTGCATATCGAATCCAATTGCCGACGAGGAGGAGGGTTGAAGTGGTGATGATGGCGGGTTTAGGGCCACCTTTATTGAGAGTGAAGATCACGACGCTGAGAGTAAGAATAGGTGTGAGTATCAGTCTCTTCCAGGCACCGAAGACAGGTGGAGACAAACATCCAGGGCTAAACTCACGGGCTGGCGACACAAAAAGCGAAGAGGTAACCAGTGCTCATCCAATTGATAGCGCTCTCAGAAACGCGGAAATGCTCAGCCGCAGTAGTTGATATCGAGGAAAAGGTTAACCACTAGACGATGATAATGATGGATAATATTAGAATCGGTGTCTATCATTCTTCGTGGCGACAGACAGACATAGAGAACCTACATCCCAACTAACGACAATGTTCAAGAGCACCAGCTGCGCCAGCCCCCAGAACCGCCGCTTGTAGACCTTGTAGACCGGGCCCGACGGAGGCAGCTCAGCTGGGGCAGTCGTGGCAGAGCCATGGTGCAAACCTGCCGAATCCTGGGGTGCTCTGGAGTCCATGAGAAGACGACGACGACGACAACAACAACAACAACAACAACAACAACAACAACTTAACAGCTGATTAGCTGGTGGGTTGCGTGACCAGCTGGCGAGGAGCGGAGCATTAAATGAGGGGGAAAAGGGCAACTAAATTAATCAATTTCACCGCAACCAACTAAACGGATGGGCGCCGTGGCTTTAAATATTATCCTAGCCTCGCTCCCAAGACACGATGGCGTCCATAGATTTCAAGACGGTTTTATAAAGCGGACCGATGGTTGGGTTGCACTGCTGCTACTTCAATTTTTGGGAAAGGAGGTTCGAATAGTCTTGTCTCATGACGGCCGGTTTCATCGTTGTTCTTGGTTTCGACGATCCGACCTCGGCTGATTCCCCCAACTTTGGTCAGGGAGGGGGTGGCAGTCAATGTGAATGCCTTGTCGGGAAGCTCTATCGTATTGTCTGCTCTCTCATTTGTCAACTGGAAGGTGAATCTGCCTTGATTAAAACGTCCCATCGCAATCACAATCATCGCGACCACCTCGACACATGCAGTGGGGATGTCGCATCCGCGCCGGCTATCAGATCGACACCAAGATCATCCATTACCAAGGGAGTGGGTAGTTTGGACATCCGACCGCATATTGCTAAATGCTAAGGTTCCCAGGTGGTTCGTAGGATTGAGATTGAACCTTGGAGTGGAGCAGCCCCGTTTTACTGTTTCCCTCCATTTCCGGGGTTGGCGCTCGGATCTAATCAATAATCATCATCATTTAATCTCATCGCTCACGCACGTTCCACAAGCCAGCACAAGTTGTTTCTTTTATGGAGTCTCCTCACAACTATTCATTGTGGATGCTTATTTTTTCGAGAAGAATAAATGTGAGGAACGTCGACGTGAGTTGAGATGAGGGAAAACTGGGGAAGTTGAGGCGACAATCATGTCTTTCCCCTTTTTGCTTGCTCCGTTCACTTCAACTTCATCACATTTCTGTTTCGGAGAATTTTTCAAAATATCAATGGCACCACGTGCAGTTGATATCTATCGGTCGGTCAGTCGGCCGTTCCTCACTACTTACTAATGCTCATTTGAATGCTAACTATACACAAGGCCATGCCTTCTTCATTGTGCTGCGTACTTTCCTCCAGGACTGCGCTGTCTAGGGAAGGTACCATGGACCATCAATCCTTTATGGGACTGTCGTCCTTGTGGCATGTTCTCTAGTCCACCCTCATCTTCACATCAAATTGAACGTGGTCTACAACACGACCTGCCTACATGGTAACATGGATACTCAGTCTCAGAACCCCCCAGCCGCTCAGCATGGCTCGTCCGACGAGGATGAAGTCTCCGCAACGGAAGTGGAACCGCTGGGAGAAGCCACACCACCAGGCAAAGCGACCTTGTCAGAATCAATGATGAGTGAGGAGAGTTCCATTTTCAACGCCCTACGGACAGACTCTGGCACCGAAGACCTCGGCTCGAAATTTGGCTCGGCATGTCATTCTCGTGGCAATCTTGATAGCAGGATCGCTGCCAATATGGCCATGTTTGTCCCCCTTGCGCCTGAAGTAACGGATCCTCCCCAGCGGGCGGACCGTGAACCAAAGTATTGTCCGGAAAAGAATACACAATCCCCTGGTTGGCATCCCCAGTTAGCATTGGACAGCCGTGTGCTATCCACAGATGAAGGGAAGGCGGTTGTAGCCTTACCTGCAGACGACTCGCTGAAGCAAAACCTTCTTGATGCGTTGCACCTCAGGAAGGCAGTTAGTCTCAACGATGCAGATGATACCTCGAGAACGTTTAAATGGCCGGGTAACCTTGACTCACCAGTCAGCCCTGCACTTCCCACTTATCCTCCACCAGTGAGAGCGCCCACACCCCCTGGACTTCCTTCATTTGGAACTCGAGAAGCTGTCTACTACACTGCTCAATTTCCCGTCCGTTCTGCCACTACCAGTGGGCGAACACAGCATTCAAGTCCAAGCCCGCCTAGGCGTGCGGGTAGGCGCATTGGTGATGGCTCTAGAACGGGATCCTACGGAGGAATGCTACGAAGGCTCCTCAGCTTTTCATCGTCTCCTCCTCCGCAGCCTAGACGTCAGACTTGTATTGTGGCGAGGGCAGAAGATGGTACTGCGGTCCAAGGTCGCTTTCCTTATAGACAGAGTGGCCACGGCATGAATTTCGCTAGACGATTGGAGGATCATCCCTTTCACCGAACTGCCATTTCAGCTACTTGCGAAGATGGTGTTGATGTTGATAGCAGCGCTACACAGGATGGACAAATTAACCGAAGGCTCTCAGACGTGAAACGGGACCAGGCTGACAGCACCGATCCTGCAAACACAAGCGCTGGTAGTCGCATGCGAAGATGTCGCCCACAGATAGGACTGAATAGCTTACTACCGTTGCCTCGCCCAGTTTTGGCATCTTCTTCTCAACGGCCAGCCTCGGCAAATGCTTCTCTTCCTACTTCTAGGGTTGACTCGTTTTATACCTGTGCGTCTCGTTCGCAAATGCCAGGCATACCCAGGCACATGGAAAGCCACGATGT